TGAGAAGACTACAGCCGAAGCTTCACTAAACTATTTCCTTCTGAAAATTCTCTTCCATTGCAGAAATTTATTCCTGTTTGGTAAGATCTAAAAAGGCTGCTATACTGGGCGAATGACTACTTCCAATCTTACTGAAAAGGAAAGGGGCAATTGGAAAAGAACGAAAATGATCAGACAGAGTGCCTTATGCGAGCTGTTCTCCTGAATCAGGGCGCGGAGTTTTCGCGCGCGTTGTATGGAACATTTGGGAGGTAAAGTGATTCATGGATGACTAAGTCGTACAGATCGCCGCTCTCCACTCGCGAAAGCCTCCCCCAGTAATGTCCAACCATCTGCCATCCTAAGCCCACCTCATGTGAACACTAAGCGACATATGCCAGCCAGCAACGTAATGCTGGCAGCACCCTGAGAAGGGCAGGAAAATGGTGAACAAATGAAGTAAATGAAATATATCTGGACTGGAAAAGAACTGAGATAGAACTTATTTCGTGAACGAACCGTAATGTTTAGCCAGTCATTATCCGAGGGATCCATAGTGAAGTATAAACAGTCCTGCGTTCGAGGGGATAAAAAGTAACAAATGCTAAAACTAGTAAATTGGATTCTCGCGACATACCGGAAAAAGATGGTCTGACATAAAGTAGTGGAAATTGAAGTGGAACACCCGAAATTGGACAACTGACTTGGGTCATGATTTGAGCTACCCTCGAAGTCGAAAAAAAGTCGCTCTGCTTCCGAAAATAAACCATGAAAGCCGAAAACCTTCGCGAAAAAAGGAGCATTGGAAACCGGAAAGAATCTCTTCAGAAGAGAGGTCCCTTCATAAAATGAGCAGCCTACTAGACAACAAGGGTCTCAATTCAAAATAAGAATTAAGGGGAAAGGAACAACATTCTTTAGTTGAGAAGAAATTGTTTTTTAAAGCCGATCAAAAGTGAACTTTCTAATTGACTGACTTCAGTACCTCTTCAAGAGCCTCAAACTCCGCCGCTAAGACAGAAGGACGACCACCCTCCTACACTGATCCCGTGGCTCGATCCAGACCTTATGATTGATTCGTGTAAATACTAATGATGACCAACTGGATGGCAAAAAACCAAATAGCATCCTGAGGCACTCAAAAAGTGTACGAGGTACATAAGGTGGGGATGGAAAATTTCGTTCAAGACGAACGCCTCTCCTTACACCCTTTAAAGAACGTGCACAATCGACGTACGAATTGAATCAAGTACTTGTCCATCAAATGCGACCCTTTTGACAGGAAAAAGTTAAACCAACAGAATCCCACACTCGATACTTCACATAGCACGATGAAGTAGGAAAGAGTTGTTTCGGACAAGAACGTGAGTCAAGATTCCTAACATTACATCAAGTTACAGAAAAACTTCTAAAGCGTCGTGTCAAGGTGGGT